ATCCGGTTCTGAAAACATAGAGTGAAACTCTAATTGAAACTGGAGCAACTGCGCCATATTTTAAAAAAATAAGGTACAAAACTTATAAAACTCATATTTTATCATTCTGTATATAAATCATATCACCTCAATATGATTCATATCAGAAATCGTAAGATACGAATTTTATAGGTTCTTACAATAGCTGACTTTGTACAGAAAGCCGTTACATATCTTCTTAGGTTACAATTTTTAGTTGCCGGGAAATTTAACGCCGAGTACAATTTTTCTGTTATACTGCCCCCCTCGTGCTTAAATAAAATAATCTAGATGCAAAACCCAAAATAATTAACTACAGCACCAAAACAAAATGAAGAAGTTGGAGAGCTGATTCGGCCAACCCAAGATTCGGTAGTTTCTATCGTTTTCGGCAACCATGTCACACGAATCAAGCCGTACTTTAATTAGGTCCTAAAAATTAATTAAATCTAACCTAATCTAATCTCTGCACCTAAACGAGACATATTTAAGACTACTATTTATAGGACGCCCTTAATTTGGGGATGATACAATGCACTTTAGTTTAAAATTAGACCGTAACGTCTTTTTAAAATTTTTAATTATTGCCATTTGCTTATATGATTATATGGCGTAGAATTAAAACTACAACGTGCATTTTTACTTACAAATATGTCCTTATACTCTGGAACTTAGTGCTTAGTGACATCTGGCAGGAAAGGTGTAGGAGATTACATATAGGAAGTTCAAGGCTTGACCCTGCTGAATTGTTAGTCAAAATGAAACGAGTCGTGGAAATTAGAGGATGTGAAATAATTGATATAATACGGTGGATAGGTTAATTTTTCTGTAGTAGTTTTGTAATGGTTGGGGGGAGGGGGGTTGGTTTGTGAACTAAAATCATATTTTGATGATATAAAGCCTAAATATTCATAAGAAAATCGTCCTTAGACACCACATGCCCCCAAATGGACATCTCGGCTTCAGCTTGTGGGATGGTAGAGCTACATGCCCCCCTTGCTGGACTCTAGGGGGTCGTTTGGATTAGTGTTTCTAATGAGTGATTTGGGCACAATCTCTCACAATGAGAGATTTTAATTAAAATCACTCGTTTGGGAATTAATTTTTCAATCAGAGATTTTAAACATTCCGGATTTCAGAAACCCACATTTATGGGTTTGTGAAATAGCTGATGACCACCAACTATTCTGAAATCCCTCAATATTTTGTCAATTTATTCCATATATGCCCATGCTATTTTGACCCTTGCTCCGATTCCGGGTTTATATATGCTTCAAGCTGCTTCTTGTGTTATTGACCCTTAGAAAGTGTTGCTTGAATCTAATTTATTGTGATTTGGTTGTCCATTATATTGTTTGCATCTTGTTGTCTATTGTGTGGCATAAAGGTTGGGGAGGAACTGCGGAGAAGACGAACTCGGGAAGAGGAAGGAAGGGATCTGCGTCCTTTCTCTTATCACGTACAGATAAGGAGCTTAAAGGGTAAAATTGTTATTTTCTATTTTTAGTTTGAAATCTCATATTACTTGCCAAACGAGTGATTTGACAAAAATTCTACACAAATCTCTCAAATTAAAACCCTGGGTTTTAAAAAGAGTTATTTCATCCCAAATCCCTCTCAAATCACTCGGATTAAAAACACTAATCCAAACGACCCCTAGGTGGTTTGAGTCTATTGGAATCCTCTCCTTGGTTACTCACTAGGGTGGCATTAGGGGCGGGCGAGCAGATGGTGGTACTCGTGTCCAATCCGAATGAATCTCCACCACCTATATCATTGAAATGTGTCATAAATTGTCTTATAATGGACGGTTGAAAACCACCTTGTACAGGCAAGTTCCTCTCGTGGGTGCTGAATGAGGAGGCAGACCTCTCACAACAACTCTCACGTTGAAGGGGTGGTTGGCTTATCACTGGCGCTGACAAGCTCTCCTGCCATATTTGGTCATTCCGGCCACTAGTTAATAGTTGTGTCAACTCATTAAAATCAATTCTATTTTAATCAAGCAACTCAACAAGTTGACTCAAACGCATATCTAGACAAGAATTGAGAGACTCAATTTGAGAACTTACCTTACGGGTACTTCTCGCAAAGTTATCCTTCATGAAATTTAGGTTCTCCATCATCACTTGACGGTTTTACTTCATCACTTGGCGGTTCTCCTCCTAGGCTTGACGGTTCTCAACCATCATCTTGCGAATTTCCTCCAACATCTGGTGAAGTAGTATGACATTGGTGGTTAAATGAACGCTTTGTGCCGTCGGTGGCAAACTCTCTGTCATGTCATTGTTTCCGGCAACACCTTATGTGTCTTAGCCAAATTCAAACTTAGCTGCTTGCTTCATCACAAACCCAGGTGAGAGATCACATTCTTGTTGCCTTTGTCTTGGATCCATCAAATCAAACACAAGGTCCCACCAGGTGTGTCACCTTTGACTTCTTCGGACAACGATCACTAAGACACGGTTCAAAGATATTTCGAACGAGGGTGTTTGATTGATGGAATTTTTTGGGAACAAATCTACGTTAAATTACCTATACTCATATGGAGGATCAGTGAGACCTCCAAACTACGACTATGGTTACTTGCAGAGAAAAAGGATAAAGTTTGACGTAGGCCTCAATTGTTTGGTTGTGGAACTATTGTCTATGTCGACCCCTCCTCCTATTTATAGCCACGAGGAGGTAACCGTCATAGAAAAACGCCTCTTGGATAACCCCTAAAAGAATCGCTCCCTGCTTCCTCGGAGTGGTTGTTACTCCTTCAACCGCCTAGGTGCTTCTCTCGGAACCGCCGTGGTTCTTGGAGTGTAGCTTGCCTCGCCTGGTCTTGTTCCAAATCTCGTGCCATGCTAGTATTTTGATAAGCATGTGGTGTCTCACAAATGGGGGTCGTGGTCCCCTTGCCTCACGACCATGGATTTCTTACTCATGTATGTGGCCTTCTTGTCTCACGACCATGGACCACTTGAGACTTAGTCACTAGTGATATAATGCTCCACCATCATGCATTTCCCATTCATGTCCATGGCCCCTCTCGTGAGGCAGCATGTCCTTCCTATACTTAGTATATTTTGGGTCGTTCTGTCTTGGTCATGAGACGACATGGCCTCTTCATTCGTGGCCATGGCCTTCTCAGTCATGCATGTGGCCCTTTCCCGTGACACGACATACTCTTCTCATACTTAGTATTTTCTATTGTGCCTAATATCTCATGTCTCGTGTCCATGCCCCTTTCGTGAAACGACATGAGCTTCCTAGACAAAGAATATTTTTGTCTCCTTTGAAGTATGTGATTCGTGGCGGGAGACCTCCCAATCAAGCACATGACCCCTCTCCTGAAGCGGCATGGCCTTCTCGTACTTCTAGATGGACATGGTCCTCCTCGTTGAAGCGGCACGCCCTTCTCTAGACTTAGAATATTTTTGTGCACTAGAGGAGCCATGATCACGTGACTTGAGATGACATATGCTTCTAAATTTTAGATGGACATGACCCTCCTCATTGAAGCGACACGTCCTTCCCAGACTTAGAATGTTTTTATGCAATCTCGTGACACGACATGGCCTCCTACGAGAGGCTCATGCCACTCATTGAATCATGTTCATACTCATTAATAACTTAGTGACTTGGGCTTAAAATCAATACCCACTGTAAATAAAATTAATTGTTATAATTGGTGTGGCCTTATAAGATCATTAATTACCTTGTAGCTCATCAATGTGGTACAAGATAATTTTTTAGGTGTAAACACATTACGACCTTGATTTCTTCAGTATTTCCAAATTGGAGAATAGGCAACGCGCTCCACCGCTATTTCCTAGTAAAACTTCACATTTGAATACTGAACTCAGGCTGAAAATTTGCCTGTCGTACCCTTGATCCAATCTGATTCGTCCGCAAACTGACCCGACACATCCCTATTCTCTTCTTTATCTTGTCTGACCATTTAGAGTCGGGGCGGGTTGGGATGTGCCGGGTCAGCGGGTTGACCCTCTCCAACCACAAAATTAATTACCAAATTATAGAATTACAGAAAACTATTTATTTATGAAATTATACCAAAAAATTAATTAATTACCAAATAATTTCCACAAAATTAATCAATTACAAAATGAATTTAAAAAAATAATTTATTTACGAATTTACTTCAAGAACATTATTTATTTATCAAATTAATTCCAGAAAATTAATCAATCATCGAAATAATTCCAGAAAATTAATCAATCACCAACAGTATTAAAAAAAATTAATCAATTAAGAAATTAATTTCAAAAATTAATTTATTTTCGAATTTAATTCCAGTAATTATTTATTTATGAAATTGATTCCAGAAACTTAATCAATCACAAAAATTATTTCAGAAAATTATTAATTTATCAAACTTATTCCAGAAAATTAATCAATCACCAAAATTATCTCAGAAAATTATTTATTTACCAAATTAATTCGTGAAAATTAATCAATATCACCATTAAGGGCAGCTGATGATCTATTATTAAGGGCAGAAAGTGTGGATATATAGTTTACAGCATGCACGGCCGAATCTTTATATACTAGAGTCAGGTCGATCGGTCTAGACTCTAGAGCCAAAAGGCAACTAGCTAAAAATAAACTATAGAATCACCAGCCGGGGGAGGAAAAAAAAGCATAAAACAGCTAACGCGTAACTAATAGCTTGGGAGGAAGAAGAAGTAATCTTACTTCTACCACTACGTACAAACATAAAATTTCATTATTATTATGCGGATTGAACCGTCGTTATCGCCATAGCCCAAATGCCCAAGTGAGAACACAGGACTCCTCGACTCTTCCGATCATTCCGAGGAAGCACTCCACCCTATAACTACAGCTATCATCTTCTTAACGACCATCCCATGCAGAGAAAGTTAGCAAGTAATCACAAAAAGATCGAAACAACAGATCACAGATATATAGAGAACACGATGACGAAGACGACGTTGCTCCTGTCGGCAGCATTGATGGTGTTCTGTTTTCTTGGATCCTCTGTCGCTGCCGATGCTGCAAAGAGCGTGGAGTTCAAATCGCGGAACTGCAGCGCGGAGAGGTACCGGCCGGGGGACCAACGGAAGCATTCGATATCGGTGGTGCTGACGCAGCTGGTGTCGGAGGCCGTGGACAGGATCACGTTCAACAACAAGGACTACCGAGCCCATTACCCGCAGCAGAAGCCCATTGTCTACGGCCACGCGCACTGTCCGTGGACGTTCGGGATCAAATCGACGTGCCGCAGCTGCGTCAGGGCCGCCAAGAAGCTGCTTCTAGATGGCTGTCCGCATAAAGTCGGGGCTTCCATCGAACTGGAGGATTGCTCGCTAAGATACGAGAACCATGTCATCTAGCTCACCTTACCAGGGGAGATGCAGTGGAATAAGGTCGATTCGATCAATGTTTTTTGTTTGCCCGGTTTTCCTTAAATAGTTTATGTCATGTCACTGTCTGAGAGACTGTATGGCGTCGCTTCTTAATTATTCGTGTTCCAACGACTTAGATCAATGAAATAAGCTGCTTTCTTTTCATTTCTTTGGCAGATAATTAATTTCGACTGCTTGTTTTTATGATATACTAAGTGCGATGCCGCGCCGCTTCGCGAGCAGAGATGGCCTATAGACATGTATTATGTGGCTCGTTATGGTGTTTTTTTAGTATTATTAGTCTAAAATTAATTTTTTGTTTAGCAGTTTTGTTAGTAATATTGACTTTACAATATGATATTGACTGAGAAGAGATATACGACAGTCAACCCGAGTAGACCCATTGATTATTGGTTGGGTATCAATGGCGGACCTAAGGCTAGTAAGGATGTGTCGGACGACACACCCTCGCTCGAGAATTTTGCGAAGAACCTACATATTTTTTGCACAAAATTTTTTACTTCGGGACAGCCGACACACCTTCAATATAGTCGAAGAATTTACTATCCAAATGAATCAATCTTAATCATAATCCTTTTTAATTTTGTATAAAATAACTCATAAATCATAATCCTATCACTTTATATTAAAAAAAACTTACTCTCAGCCCATACAATATATATGTGTGTGATGTGTGTTGGGTCTGGGCCTATAATTAAAAGAGAAAAAAAATTCACAGGTCAAATGGCCAGTAGCCCAGGCGGACACTCTTTATCCTTTAGTTTACTTGCTGTTGAAGTTGGTGTTGACTTTACCTGTTGCAACTGCAAGTTGCGCAAGAGCATTTTCACCTATAAAGATAATCAAGAACGATCTTCGAAATAGGTTGAGTGACCAATTTATGAATGATTTTTTAGGTGTGTATATTGAAAAAGATTTGCTTTGCAACATAAGTGATGAATGTATTTTAGAGACATTTCAACAGATAAAAAGTCGTCGTGGTTCGTTGTAAACATGACATTGTGAACTTTATGAATTAATTTCTTTTAATTCTACTTAATTTATTTAATTTAATTATTATTGGATTTTATCGGCGATAGACCTCTCCGACAATCCTGGGTCTGCCACTGTTGGGTATGAGTGACGTATATATGGGTATGGAAGTTTGTAGATGAGTTTGGGTAGGGTATGGATATTTACTTCCATAATGAGTTGGGTATGGATACCCATTTACTCGATGGTGTTTTAATTACACATACAAAAATAATTAATTAGACCTATTTGTAGAACTTTAAAAGTTTAGTTACCAAAATCTAATACACAAAAAATTTAGGTACTAAAATGTAATTTTCCATCAATATTTTGAGGACTTATATGCCAAAAAATAATGAAGGTTATAAATCTAAAGATCTAGTAAGTTTAGGTACATAACTGTAATTTGCATAGTTGAGACTTAATTCCTTTTGTAGTGATGTATATAAGATGATAATTATTTACCTTTTTATTAGAAAAATGGAAACTATTTATTTGATATGTGTAGATACCTATCTAGCCAAACTTTCCATGTATAATTGTTGAAAATTCTAGTCCGGTGAAAAAGAAAAACTCTAGAGAGAAGCAAAATAAATACAAACTGAAACTCGCTTAAAATTTCACGCCTTCAAATCTCATAGTGGAAAATAATGACTTTCTAGTAAGTAATAACCATGTATATTTATTTTTAATTGGACTTGACATTGAGCTGAAAAAGTTAGTGGTTCGTGATTCAATTATTAGTTCTCTAGACTTTTGGTGAGTGGTGTATGGACCCGTTCATACTTGTTATTACAATACATAAAAATAGTATACTAATTAGGGTTAGACGAAGAAGGCCCAGAAAGAAATAAAAAAGGGATATGGAAGGAGACTAGGCGAGTGAAAAATGATACGAAAAAGAAGTAGATGATGGAAACCGTCAGTACAACAATCACCACTTTTCACCGTTGCAATTTATTTACACTTACTTATGTAGATATTGCATGTTTTGCTACATGTAGTTAGTAGAAGTTTGTTTAGTGCCCCATAAATGTACTAAATGAGTTTATAAATTCTCACTTGCAATATTTTAGAGTCGTCTCTCTTTATTATTTATTTAATATTTCACGTAATGAGCAAATATAAATTGGTCGAATCTTCTCCTACAATTGAGTTATACAACATCTTGTATTGTACAAACTAAATTTATACTTTTATATTATGGTGCCTGGATTGGTGGATTGGATTTATGAATTCGAATGAAATCTAAACATTGGACAAACATGTAATAGGTACGAAATTTTCTTAAAAATTAACAAAACATAATTGTTAAATGAATTTAAATTAAAATTAATTTTGAGATATCAAAATATAAAATGTACATTATAGTAATTAAATTGTAATTTAATTAAATTTGGGTATCAATTAGCAAAATTGGTAGGTACCATAACAGTAACACTACTTCACGTTCATATATATTAAATTAAATTAAACTAGAGGAGATCTGGCCGTGCTCCGCACCGGCTTGGGTGGAATTGTGTTGAATTTTGCTGCCTATAAATTAGAGTCATACAACATGCATAATTTGCTGTCATTGTTTTTAGTGCATGTATAATCAAGGACAGCAAATGTAGCGAAGAATCATCCAGTTCCATAAATTATGAAGGGACTAAATGGGTTGAAGATACAGTCATTAACCATTGGTTACCACCTATAAGTCACGAAATCGGGATCTTTAGATCTAAATGAGTACAAAAAATTCAGATCTAAGGGTTGTGAATTAAAGATATTTCACACCGACTTGGGTGGAATTGTGCTGAATTGTGCTGCCTATAAATTAGAGTCATACAACATGCATAATTTGTTGTCATTGTTTTTAGTGCATGTATAATCAAGGACAACAAATGTAGCGAAGAATCTATTGTTTTTAGTGCATGTATAATCAAGGACAACAAATGTAGCGAAGAATCTCCAGTTCCATAAACTATGAAGGGACTAAATGGATTGAAGATACAGTCATTAACCATTGGTTACCACCTATAAGTAACGAAATCTTGATCTTTAGATTTAAATGGGTACAGAAAATCCAGATCTAAGGGTTGTGAATTAAAGATATTTTAATTTCCTAGTTTTCTTAATCGGCTCTTATCTTTTTCGTTCTAACTTGGGTTTCAAATTTTTTTTTTTTGCCCAGATGGAACGAGTTCGTTGTGCTCTGCAAAATTAGATCAAGTTTCAATATTCGTTGAGAATTTTTTTTAACACTTCCCGTTACCAACTCCATATCATATGGTAACTTCTTCGATTTTAAGTCGTTTTTTAAAATATTTGCTCAGAAGGAAGAGTTCATCATGATCTATTGGATCTACAATTTTCTAGGTGAAAAAAATACAAGACCAAAAATTACCATACTTTACCACTCTGGTAAGGGGGTGGTAATTTGTGGTAAACAATGATGAAAGTCGTAAATGACAGCTAGTATACTCCTACTATCATGTATTCAACCTTATTACAGTCTTAGTATGTTCATACCATCATGTTACGCTTTCTTACCATATGGTATGCTTCTACTTAAATTCTTACTTAAAACGAGAGAGAAATCGCTCGTTAAAGATTAAAGAGAAAAAGATAAAAGGTTTTCCATGAGACAAAGGGATGTTAATGTCATGATGATGTGGACGGGTTACTCATGGTTACTCATCCTAAGGTTACTGACCTGAGCCTCTCCCTACTAAATGTAGCAAAAGTATCATTCTCAAGTGAATTAACGATCCAAATAAACATTGCTCCTGAAGTCTTTCTATTGCCAGTCGACATGTGTTTAATTTCCTTCAAGTTTTCAACAAAGAAGCCTAATGAGGACTGATAAAAGCTTGACAGGGGAAGAGGTTAATCAACTGATTTGGATTACCAAATTCCCGTCTTTGTGGTTCGCCCCTATATTTGTTCCATCATCAGCAATGAATCTTGTCACGATATCTCATCCAATGGAAATAAGTCTTTGATGTATCCTGTTGTTTGAAATTTCCTAACACAACTAGCGAAAAAACGAAAACTGAACTAATTGATGCCTACTGGTAACAAAAACAAAATGAGCAACCTATTAATGTATTGTTAGTATCATAAATTGGCTCAAACTTTACACTAATAGACTAATTTGGCTCATGGTTTCTGAAGTACGCGTACTGGTTTAAACTATTCACTATATAAACTAATTTGGATGAACCCGTGTGTTGGCCGTCAAGTTGATAGTCAAGATCGTTGACTAACGACCAATATGCCATGTGATCTTGACTAGGGCTGCTATTTGGTCCCGGACTGTTTGGTTTTACCTGAAACCGGACCGTATAACCCGGACTGGGACCGGATAGCAAACAATGCAATCTCATATTCGGGCTTAGATTTTAGGTAAAAAACCGGATAAGAGACCCCCAACACCTAAAATCAAGATAAAATTGGGACCGGACTGTATCCAATATAATCTTTGGTCCTTATATTCCCAAAAAGACCGAACTGGGACCGGATCAAATTGGTCCAATTTAACCGGATCGGACCGTATAGCCACCCCTAATCTTGACGGTCAAGACATACGGGTTCGGTAAAATTAGTCTATATAGTAAATAGTTTAGCCTAGTATGTGTATTTTAGAAACCACGGACCAAATTAGTCTATTAGTGTAAAGTTTGGGGCAATTTAAGGTGTTAACCCAAAACTTTTTCCCTAATAGAAACTCCATATGACTGTTATTTGTGTTGACAATAAAACCTTTAAGCTCTCATGGGTAGACAAGATGAGAAGTCTTCTCCCCGTTGTATATGCAAGGTTTCTCCACCGCTCATCAACTTCTCCGATGACCGAAATCTCTGGTTCATCTTCCAAGAAGTCACTCAAGGTCAAAGTAATCTCGTGCTCACACCTCAATGATCTCCAAATTCTAACCAGAAGAGTCCTATCGGTAAGATCTTGATGCGCTTGAGTTGCCTCTAGCTTGGAACACTGGCCTCCTCGTATCTTGACCGATAATGTGGAGTGAAGAGTGGGAATGGAGTAGCCACGATCTCACTCGAGAACGATTTTGAGGATATTCACCGTTAAAATTGAGTCAACAATCTTTCTTAGTTCTTGCACAATTTTCTATGGAAGTGAGGTGAATATCACCACATTGACAAAACTGCTGGTTAGTAATTATCGTTTTTTAAGGAGTAGGTCGTCTATCAAGTCGGTTGACGGAACACAATAAAGTCTTTCTAGATGTAAAATAATCTCTTGAACGTTCATGAAAAGTCCATTGAAGCACAAAAAAACCGTCCCTTGAAGTGGGGTGAGTTCCCTAATCCTTCACCAAGTTGTTTAGTCATTGTTCCCGTGTGACACATAATGAACAACACTCAACCACTCTTAACACTCTGTTTGGGAAGAGGGGTAAATGGGAGGAGGGTGCAAATGTGAGGGGTAAACACAGTTTTCAACACATTTGCACCTGTTTGGTTAATTTGGAACAGTAGAGGGGTGCAAAACGGGAGTGCAAATTTACTGTTTCGGCTTACCCCCCGAATTGGGGTGCAAGGGAAGGAAGGAAGAGAGGGGGAGGGGGGAATTATGGAATGTTGTTTTTCTAATTGTGTTATATATAATTATATAATAATTAATATTATCAATTTCTTTTTTTATAAATATCATTATTGTAAACATTATTCGGGGTTGACCATTTGACTCTGGAAACAAGTTTATCAATGTTCGTCAAGTCAAATCTAGATCTCTTGGCTGAATCGAATTTGCATTGAAAATTAGAGATACGAGGTGTTTGTGGAAAAGATAGAGAGAAATTGTTTGGTTAACTCAGTTTATTTGACTAAATAGTTAAAACTTACAAATTCGAACGTGTTTGACTAAGTTTGACAATTTAAGATTAAACTAGACACGAAAACCCTATATAGGATGACCAGTTACGAGTTGAGCTTCGAGTTTTGAGATCGCTCGATCAATGATTATACAATTGTTATAATTAATTATTATTTGAGCATTATCATATAATAACTATTTTTAGTAAAGTATATTTATTATATAGTAATATTTATTTTATTATTTTATGATATATTTTATAATTTTAAAATCTATTTTATAATCTGAAAATCTATTTTAAAATCTATTTTAAAATAATATAATTACTTACTTTTCACTCTATTTGCACCCCCTATTTTTTCATCCAAACAACAATTTGCTCCTCCACTTACAACCCCAGCAATTTGCACCCCCCAGCAATTTAGCCCTCAACTTGTACCCCCTGCAATTTGCACCCCCTTGTTGCCAAATAGAGTGTTAGTGTTCAATATTCAAGTGATGGTTTAGGATTTAAAAATAAAAAACGACAATAAAAATGCTGAAAACTAATTAATTGTTTTATTACCTCTCATTTGTGATGAATAAAATCACGGATTTCGAAATTCAAAAATGCATCATTGATGTTTGACTGATGGTGAATATGAACCTCAACAATAACAAAATAATGGTTTACTAAAATAAAGGAAAAAAAATCAAACCAAATTGTCAAAAAAAAAAACATGCATATATCGTATAAAAAATCATGCATATATCGTATCATATGCATGTATTTTGTTGACTTATTTTGTTCTTACATTCAGGAAACAAAATCAGCCCAGAGCTCCATTATAAAACAGTAGCACATCAACATAATGTTGAAATGATATCATTCGTTTGATTATTATCATCCCAAAGATCACGCATCCTCCCACTGTTCTGGCTAGCTTTTTCTGTTCATTCCGCCACACGAGAAGGAAGAAAAGAAAATTAAAAAGATAGATAATATACTATAGAGGAGATCGCAGGAAAGTGGATTTCAGAATCCCAATCGTATAATAGTGAGAGCTGGAAAATGTAAAACAAAAACGAAAAAAACTAAAAACAAACAATGGAGGGAGACAGAGACAGAGCGAGAGGGAAAGGTGGGAGAGAGAGAGAGAGAGCAGATTTCAAAGATTTGCTTAGAGAGAGAAAGATTTGATTTGGAGAGAGTGGACAGAGACAGCTTCACCATTTCCCCCCCTCCCCTCTCTGTTTATCTATCTTCCCCATCCCCTCTCCCCCTTTATATTCTTTCCTCCATTCTTCCTTTAATCCAAAAATCTCTCAACCGCTGCACAGTTCTCCGACGGGAAGCAGTACTCGTGTTGTGAAAAAGCGTATTCATAGTTGCTATGGCTAGAAACGGCGTCGTCGCTTCTCAAAGGTGGAGGTCGGACGGAGATGTCTCCTCCCAGCAGCAGCCGCCTGCTGACTCGGTTATTGCCGACGAAGTTCATGTTCTAGCGGTGGATGACAGCCTTATTGATCGGAAAGTCATTGAGCGTCTGCTCCGCAATTCTTCCTACAAAGGTCGGCTTACCTTTTCCTCTTTCCCGCCTCTACTTTGCTCTGCTTCTCTCTCTCTCTCTCTCTTCTTTGCTCTGAACGCTTTTTCCCCCCTTTAATTTCTGCAGTTACGGTGGTTGATAGTGGCGTAAGAGCTCTGCAGTTCCTTGGATTAGATGGAGAAGAGAAGAAGACCTCTTCCATTGGTGCTTTTGATGTGAGTTCATTCATTTTTCTGTTCCGAGTTCCTCAACTCCATTCGTTGAATCGGCGTGTGGGAATTTTTTTGCCTGATGTTCAATTTTGCGATTTCTGTTTCCTCAGAGCTTGAAAATCAAAGTGGATCTGATCATCACCGATTACTGTATGCCGGAGGTGACCGGCTACGATTTGCTCAAGAAAATCAAGGGATCCTCTACGCTGAGAGAGATCCCGGTGGTGATAATGTCGTCGGAAAATGTCGTGACTCGAATCGACCGGTACTTGATTCACTACCTCTCACCATCTGTATTGCTAAATTTTGCCGAGAACCTGAATTCGGAATTGACCTGGATTTCTTCATTCAATTGTTCTGGTATTACAGTTGTTTGGAGGAAGGTGCGGAAGATTTCATTGTAAAGCCGGTGAAACCGTCGGACGTCGCACGGCTTCGTGGCTACATGGCGACGAGCGAGCCGAGCGTGCGGGTCAACAAGAGGAAGCAACGAGAAAGCTGTGAGAGCTGCAGTAGTCTCTCCACCGCTTCCTCCACATCATCATCCATCTCTTCCTCGCCATCTCTGTCGCCGTCGCCGCCGTCATCAGCATCTCCGACGCCAATGTCGATCTCAGAGCCGTCCTCACCGTCTCCGTCGCCCTCCCCGCCGATGTCTCAATCCGTCTCCGCGCCGTGTTCACCGTCGTTGTCGGAGGAGTAGCAAAGAAGGGAAAAACTCAAAAAAAGTAAAGCAAAAGAGGAAGGGAGAAAAAAGTCGAGAGGACTCTAGACTGGTAAAGAGTAAAAGGACCACAGCCCCACGAAAATTTTGCTTTTCAGTACAAATTTGCCACAGTCGGAATGAATCCAATGAATGATGGAAGAAGAAGCAGTAGAGAAGAAAGAATGGAAAGGCAATTTTGGGCCAGGCCTAGAGTCGGCAATTTTTCCGTTACTTTTGCTTAACGGTTTTTTTATTTTTATTTTTTGTGCTGGGATTTGTACATTATTACTACTTACTACTTTCCACTGTTCTTTTTACCGCCCCGTCCCCTCTCTTGTCGCTCCACTAGCAGAGGAAGGAAAATCAAAATCTAGTCTAATCTTGAAATCAAATTGCACGAATGGTCCCTAATATTCTTAGCATAATCAATTTACTCATTGCAATTACGGTCCTCGAATCTCTTGAAATGGTCAAATGAGTTGACGGAGCGTGAGTGGGAAGCGGTCATGGTCGATGGGGTGGGAGGGAATCACAATCAAATCGTGGGGAGATATGGTGGGGTGGATTGTGTATGATACTTGTCTGGGAAGGAGAATATTTGGTGTAAGAATGAATTATTGGCGATGTTCCCTGGCGGAGGGGCTGAATGGCGTGGAGGAAATGCAAGTGGGGGGAGCTGGAAATTTGGCAGCAATTGTTGTCTGGTCGTCTCTCTCTCCCCCTCTCTACTCTACCTAGTATTTCCGATTTTTTTTTTTTACAAAGGGTATTTAATTTCCATTACTTGTGGCAGAAGCCAATAAGTTATGGAAGAGGGGCAACAACATCAAGGACTTGAACCCATTTGGAAAGGCAACTGATTTTTAGCACGAGACTTAGCAACCCAGTTTGCTTTGGTGTCAGCGGCGGATCCAGGACATAGTAGAACACTAGGCCCGCATTTCATTAGAAAATTAGATACCGTATGAAAATCATAAAAAAATTTACTATATCAATTGTACACGTCGATCTTTTTAAATTTTAATATAGTGAATTCATCAATAATGGAGTCTACATCCATACCAATAGCATACTCTCTTTAAGATAAAATAGTTAACCAATTGGCGAGAAATTCATTGCTAATTTTATTACGTAGATAATTTTTCACCTATTTCATTTGTGAAAAGGTTCTCCCCATAGTTGTTGAAACGAGCAATGTCAACACTAGACAAATCAATCAACTAATCCATACCAATAGCATACTCCCCTATTTTCACAAGCTACTCTAGTAATTTTTCAAGTGAACAAACCTCATATTCCTTTTAATCTTTTACGTTTTTTACTTTTAGAATTTTAGGTTTCATTGCTTGTTTTTCTTTAGGCGAGAATCATTGGAGTTAGAATTTTCAGGTTAAAATTAGAGTTGTGTTTTGAATATGTTCATCTGACCCATTTACCTAATTACACACAATCTTATTATAAAATAACACTGGGCCGAATGACTACAACTGATAAACTAATAAGGGCTATACTAGCTTCGGATCCAGATGAGGGCTGGGCCGTGGCCCGGGGTGGCCTCCCCCTGGATCCGCCACTGTTTGGAGTTATTCTTCCTTTTGATGTGGTTGATCTTGATCATCGGGTGAGCTTCAATGGTCTTCTTGATGGTGCCAAGTCACGCTGCTGCACGCCAAGGCCATGACTTAGGGTGTCCCTGAAGCGCTTGGATCAGGCCAAGGCAATCAGAACGGACAATGCATGGCTTGAGAAGGCCGACAACTAAGAGAGTTCCCTCAAGTAACGCTTTATCTTCTGCTTCAAGTGGGGGAAAACAATGCAGAGACTCAGCTTTCCCATCACAAACTTGACCATGGTCGTTCGTAACGACGACGCCATAAGCCGCCTCCTGGGAATCGTTGAAGAACGATCTCATAACAGTGTATCTCAAAGTCATGAGTACTTGGGGGTGGTGGAGAGTGATCAGGGGGTGGATTGAGCTGAGGTAGGGGTGGAGCTAAGGGCAACTTCCTGGGGCAGGAAGTCCACTGGTGGAAGGCAAGTGTGGTCTTTGAGACCATGGATGGGGGCCATGGTGCTATGTTCCTGAAAATGCGCTCATTTCTCGTTCTCCATGTCTGCCACAGAAGGAAGATAATCTTTTAAATGGAACAGACTGGGTACTTGGTTTTCAGAGAGTCAAGCCACTCCAAAAATGGGGGTGAGAGGGGGAGGAGCTGCAAGAGATGGCCAATCTTGCCCCCACCCTTCTGCCGCATGGGGGCACGAAAAGAGAATGTGGTGGACCGATTCTGAAGGGGCCGCGCACCGCGGGCAGCTCTTGGTTGTAGAGCAGTTCCTTGAGTGTAGGTTTTCTTTGGACGCCAGGGCTCCTTTAGTGCACTTCCACACAAAAAATTTCAGCTTCGGCGGGAGGGAGAGGCTCCAAAGCCACTTCCATCTTTCTTTACTTGACACTGAAGTAGTCAGCTGACCCGAACAAACATAGTTGGTTATGAAAGAGATGGAACGCCGATCTCACTGTAAAGGAGCCGTGATCCGTGAATCTCCATGCCCATAAGTCTTAAAGGGAGTCAGGGCCAATAGGGGTGGCAGCAACCTGCCTCATGTCCTTTGGGCTAAGGAAATCATCAAGCAGGTCAAAATTCAATTCTCTGGAGATCCCATCAATCCATTGGTCAGCAGTTGACTCATCAGGCCAGTCAAACTATAGGAGGGGTCCTGCTTGGTCGAATCTCCACGGGTCTTGGAACATTCTGGTGGACCTCCCGTTGCCAATTACTCGGATCACTCCTTATTTCATCCTTTTTTTGGCTTCCCACAGGCTCACCCAGATCCAAGAAGCCTTACCTCCCTTCTTAGCATTCAAGAAATCTGAGTGTGGAAAGTAGATGCTTTTAAGTACCTTGACCCATAGGGCGTCGAGTTTGTGATTGCTCTCCATGCCTGTTTGGCCAGCAGTGCTAAATTGAAGGTATGGAAAGGTCGGAAGCCAAGGCCTCCCTCCTCTTTCGGGGCATAAAGAATCGTGTCCGGCCCTCCAGTGGATGGTCTTCTTGGACAAGGAGCCTCCCCAGAAGAAGTTCTTGAGCATGGCGTCCATTTTTTCCATTGTAGACCGTGGGAGGAGGAACAGACACTTAATGAAGGAGGGGATGGCTTGGAATACAACCTTGAGCAGGACCTCTTTCCCGCCGGGAGAAAGAAGTAGGCTCTTCCATGATTCACCTCTGGTCTCCATTCGGTGAAGGAGGAACTGGAAAGTTTCCTTTTTGGATCTTCCCCACTCTGTGGGCACTCCAAGGTACTTGGAATGGCAGATAGAAGCCGCGAACCCCGATGTCTGTACGATCCCTTCCTGTTCATCGATTGGCACATTATAACTAAAGAACATTGATGATTTTTCCCTGTTGACTTCCTGGCCTGTGATCGATCCATAATCATTTAGGATGCTAAGGATCTTTTCTTCCTCGCTCACCGAGGCCTCGCCAAAGATGATCGTGTCATCAGCAAACAGGCAGTGGGTGAGACTCGGGCAGGATCTATTAAGTTTGAGCCCTTTTATAACATGTCTCTGGGGTGCCTTCTTGATCAGGAAGGAGAGAGCATTAGACATAAGTATGAAGAGAAGAGGGGACAGGGGATCCCCCTGACGGATGCCTTTCGAAGGCTGGAATTCAGCCGAGGGTTCTCCATTGAATAGCAGTCTGAACTTCACTGTCGAGATGCATGATCGAACCCGCCCGCACCATACTTCACTGAATCCGTAAGCTCTCAGGAGACTAATAAGAAACTCCCACTCCACCAAATAGTAGGCTTTCCTCATATCAAGCTTCATCATCATGTCCTTACGTTTGCCCGTTTTATGTTTCTTGAAGTGGTTGAGAACTTCGTGGACAATAATTATATTGTTTTGAATCTGTTGTCCGCCTGTGAAGGCAGACTAGAGCTCGTTTACCAGGTCAGGTAACCAAGGTTGAAGTCTGTTGGTCATGATTTTGGTAATAACTTTATAGCGAAAGTTACAACAGCTAATGGGCCGGAATTGTCTGATCACCTCTGGTGCCTCCACCTTAGGTATGAGCGTAATGAAAGTATCATTCCATTTGTCCGGCATGATGCCTGTATGGAAGAAGCTGATGATCTCTGCACAAAAAATATTTCCCAGGATGTTCCAAAATTTCCTAAAGAAATGTCCTGGGAAACCGTCAGGTCCTGGTGCCTTGTTTGCTCCTAGCTGGAAGACTGCTTTTCGAATCTCTTCTCTTGTTATTTGTGTTGTTAAACCTTCATTGATCTCCTCTGAGACCAGCCTTGGGAACCCGGTCAGTAGTGACAAGTCGAATTCCCCATCTTTGCTGGTGAAGAGATTATGGTAAAACTAATTGACATGCTCGTCGAGATCTTGTGCCTTGTCGATCCAATTCCCATTTGCATCTTTGAGCTTAAGAATACGGTTTTTGTTTCTCCTTTTGATTGTACTAGCGTGAAAGACCAATTGTTCGTATAATCGTGAGTTTACACTTATAAATTATAGTCTTACAATTGAGGCATTTAATATCGTAACGTAGTTAGAATTTCATACTATGCAGGTTGGTATGATAAAAAAACATATGGGTCTGTCGTCGGGTGATGATGGCGAACGACAATAAAGAATGACGATAAAAAATATGTAATTTGATACCGAGAAAATTGTATATCCTGAATTTATCTCGTAACATAAAATTACAACTATTTTGAGTGTTCTTGTAGTCCCAACTCAAAAGGATGCCATTAAACCCTCTAACAAAGAGCTCATTCCACCACTAATTCAGCAACTTTAAATCCGGAAATACACATAAAAATGAAATGACCATTCTGTTGCCATGCCAACCACAATAATGAAATCAAAATCATTGGGGCCCATTTTAACGACAAAAGGTCCATCCATGATCCATCACGAAATAGTTAAGCGTGTTCTTGCGCTTTGCAAAAAGGCCCAGAAAAATTGGAAAATGGGGGGAAAAGGTTGTTAATAAGAGTTAGCCGAGTATGAAAACGTGGCTTCCCATCTAATCTAACATCCAACGCAGTTTAGCTGTTTGCCCGATTACTCGTCTCCCCGCACTGCAATTTTCTTATTAGAATACTAGAGTTTACTATAATCTTCCCTCCCCACGATTCATTTTCTTCTTCATCTCCGGTAATCACAGGGACTGGATGCATGAACCGAACAAAGTCCTCGTATAAACCAATACATGTTGTGTACAGTGTACACTACAGAAATAACTGTTCCATATCCGTTTTCAGCCAAAAAAATATTCTTTTTGTGAGGCACAAGGAATACCAGAGGATATCATATATATTTTATGGGTAAATTACAAGTTTGGTCACCGGAATTACTTAAAAAGTTTAAGTTTGCCACTAAAAGTAGTTTATTCCATCCGTAATCACTAGGATTAGTTCAACCGTTCAAATTTGGTCACTCTCCATTAACTTTAGCTGACGTGGCGCTCAACTCTGAGAGTTGACCGTTAAATAAGTGACGTGGCAATTAAAAAATAAGAAAATTTAATTTTTTCTAATTTTCACTTCATTATCCAATACATTAAAAAAATAAAACCTAAAAATTATAATTATAATTTCCGCTCACTTCCCTCTGCAGCTCGACGTCACGAAGCACCACCGTCCACCGCCTTCTCCGATTCCACATTTGCGACTCGGGAAGCTTGAGTCTATCCTCGTTCTCCACCAAACAATCCCTAATCTGCGTCCCTAATCCTGCTAACCATGGTTGTCAAACCGGTTTCATGCCGGCCGGTTCAACCGGTACCGGTCAGCAAACCGGCTGGAAAGGGGCCGGTATTTAACTGTGATCAAATCCGGTCAATGCCGATGAGATCCGGTCAAATCCGGAAATTCCGGCCGGTTAGACCAGAAACCGGAATTTAATGTTACCCATATTATATCCTGAAATTCCGGCCGGTTAGACCAGAAACCGGAATTTAATGTTACCCATATTATATCCAAAAATAAACATCTTCCATAGGATTTGAACCAAGAACATCTTGTTCATTTTAGTATAACTTCTACACCAATAGGCTACAAGCAATTTTATTGTCTATATTAACCTTATATGTTATATATCTAATACTAAATTTTACACAAATCATTATAAACATTAATAAAATTTATTTAATAAAATTTTATTTTTAAGCATCTAATTGTTTAGTATTAGTTACCAATTCTTAGCTATAAATTATTTTGTGTGAAATAATTCTTCTAATTGCTTTTTTATGAATAATTTATTTGGAATTGAGGATTTTCATTTTCCTCATGTATTTTATTAAAACTGGCACAACCGGCATGAATACTGGTTGTACCACGGTCAGACCATTCCACATATAAAAACGGCACACCGGCATAAACCGGTTTGACAACCTTGCTGCTAACAGTTTCTGCAACCACAACTTGCTCAATCACCCTCGCCACCTCTCACCTGTCAATCCGATCAACCTTCATCACGACCCAACTTCCTCAACCAACCTCGCATTCGTCCCCTGGTCGTTCTGCAGCGGCATCGCCACCATCGGCACTCTGTACTTCATTCCTTCTGTTACCGAGATCCACCCGCAGTGGCTGACGAACCCGCCCATGCTACGGTGCCTCAATATCCTCTGCTACGGAGCCCAACCCACCGCAACGTATCATCTCTCCCCCACCGCCTCCAGAACCCTTCTGGCAGCGCTTCCGCCGGCCCCATCTCTTGCCCTTCCGGAAACCTCATAATCCATATGACTGGTACATCCTCTTTTTCACCACCAGGGTCTACCTCTCCAACAAAATTGGACCCAAGATCAAGCAAATCAGCGTCGCAAAATTATCCTGCTAGAAAATGGTCTCCTGGCCAAGGGCGAATTCTTCATCATCACACACCGGTCACGATTCCGACTCCGAATCAACCAACTCCGACCCAGACTTCGCCGATTTTTCCGTAAACATTTCCTTCACCGCCGACCCAGGTCGGAACCTACTATCACCGATTCTTCTGTAAACATTCGTCGCTGGAGCTTTGGAGGTCGGGCGTCTTCTTCAATTCTTCCCTGTGTGCTCTATGGGTTTCGATCCAGAGAAGAAAGAGGGGTTGACGGCGGCGGAGAAGATGCTGGGTTTCGATTAGGTTATCGAGGGTTGGATGGGAATCTTTGGATTTTCCGGGCCGGTGATTATAATTAATAACTGGGTGTAGGAGGGAGACTCGGGAAAATGGGTCAAGGAGAGCAAGCAGAAAGGGATTAATCGATACTGGGAGAACGGAGGAGATTACCGGAAGGATTAAGGGAGAAGTATTCTAGAGAGAGAAGTTGATGATTTTAGAGATAGAGTCGAAAAATCCGATCCCCTCACCCACCGGAGTAAATGCCATATTTATAGGCTACATGGTGGTGGGTGAGTGGTTGAGTTACAAGTGGACACAATGACATGACCGCTGACATGACAGAGATTTAGTCCATGCTTTTAGGACACTGATGTGACTACTTGGGGCACTGATGTGACTACTCCTGACACAAGCAGGGCTATACCTAGGACTATACACGGTGACGCGGCGCCGCTTCTGCGGCTTCTCGATAAGGGCCCACGCCCGGGTGATGCGTCGTCGTTTAGTATTCGCGCGCGCCTCTCCGGCGGCGATCTCTATCAGCGCGCTTGGTTACGGCACGACTCGCGCTCTTGACTTTGGCGCGCTTCACACCGGTGTACTTGCGCGCTCCTCTTTGGCGTGATTATCCTGCCCAGGGTGGAGAAGTCTGACCCATTGAACGATTTGGCTCAGATTCATTTCGCGGTAAGGCCGAGCTTGAGTTTTGCCGCGTCTAATTCTTTATTTTATGCATATGTGTTGCTAAGTCTGTGAGCGTTGTAGGGTTTGTCGGCCACCTACCGCGCTCAGAAGGAGCGCGCGCTGCAGCGCGCAAGGATAAAGGACGATGAGGCCAAGATTGTCCAGCTGGTAGGGGCGCAACTTATGTGACGCGCTTACTAATGCCAGGGCTGCCTTCTCAATTGGGGATTATCTTGTTTCTGCGCTAACTAGCGTTCGCGAGGTGTAATACACGGGCTGCTCGGTGTTGTCAATTCTTCTAGTTATTAGGACGGCGCTCACTGCTCTTGTTGACACGGCAAGATAAAGGAATAACTTTTCATTAGGCTTGGGAGCTGTCAACACAGGGGGGGGATACAAGATATGATTTCAGCTATTGGAAGGCCGCTTCACACTCCTTGGTCCATGCAAATTTTGCACCGTTTTTGAGTGTCTTGAAGAAGGGCGCGCACTTGTCGGCCGACCTCGGGATGAATCTCCCCAGCGCTGCTATCTTTCCATTCAGGGATTGGATTTCAAGTGCGCTCCTTGGGGCCCGCAGTTGTTGGACCGCCGTGATTTGTTTTGGGTCCACCTCGATGCCGCGCTTGGTTATCATAAAACCCAAAAACTTCCCCGTTTCTGCTCCAAAGACGCACTTCAGTGGGTTCAAGCGGAGGCTGTGCTTGCGGAGCGCCTCAAATGTTTCTCGTAGATCCTCCAGGTGCGAGTTCCCGGCCTTGGTTTTGACGATGAGGTCGTCCACGTACGCCTCGATGTTCCACCCCCTCTGATGTGAGAACACCGAATCGATCATTCTTTGGTATGTCGCGCCCGCGTTCTTCAGTCCGAACGGCATTCCGACGAAACAGAAGTTTCCGAAGGGAGTCATGAACGCCGTCTTTTCTTCATCTTCGCGCGACATCGGGATTTGATGGTACCCCGAGAACATGTCCAAGAAAGACAATGTCTCGTGGTTGGCGGTGGCGTCGATCAGTTGGTCGATGCGCGGCAGGGGGTAAGGGTCTCCCGGGCATACCTTGTTGATTGTCGTGTAGTCAACGCACATCCGTCACGCGCCTGAAGATTTTTTTACCAAGACCACATTCGCCAACCACTTTGGGTATTTGACTGGGCGAAC